GGGAGGGAGGAAGGAAGGAAAGAAAAAGAAGGAAGGGAGGGAGGAAGGGAGGGAGAGAGGGAGGAAGGAAAGAAAAAGGGAGGGAGGGAGGGAGGGAGGAACAAAGGAAGAAAGGGAGGAAAGAAAAAGAAGGGAGGAAGGGAGGGAGGAAGGAAAGAAAAAGAAGGAAGGGAGGGAGGGAGGAAGAAAGGAAGAAAGGGAGGGAGGGAGGAAGGAAGGAAAGAAAAAGAAGGAAGGAAGGGAGGGAAGGAGGGAGGAAAGAAAAAGGAGGGAGGGAGGGAGGAAGGAAGGGAGGGAGGAAGGAAAGAAAAAGAAGGGAGGGAGGGAGGGAGGGAGGGAGGGAGGAAGGAAGGAAGGAAGGAAGGAAGGAAGGAAGGAAGGAAGGAAGAAAGAAAGAAAGAAAGAAAGAAAGAAAGAAAGAAAGAAAGAAAGAAAGAAAGAAAGAAAGAAAGAGCCGCTTCAGCTGGAGCCCTCTGGGGACGGGACTCCTAGGGAAGCCCCCCTGCCAATCAACCAATGGAACAGAAGTTGCCCTCGGAAGTTGTGGGAGCTCATCGCTTGGAGACATTCAAGAAGAGATTGGACTGCCATCTGTCAGAAACGGCGTGGGTCTCCTGCTTAGACGGGGGCGGGGTCGGACTAGATGACCTACAAGGTCCCTTCCAACTGTGATTATCTGTTCATCTGCCTCAGGGAGAGGGTCTCGGGGCTGCCTGGCAGAAGGAAGGACCCACCACCACCACCACCACCACCATCCCGCCCAGTTTGTGGAAAGCTCTGCCCTTGCTCCTTCTTTTAGCCTGGGACCGAGCTCGCCTGGGCTTTTAGGTTTTACAGGTTTCCATCCTGTGCCGGGGGGGGAGGAGGAGGAGGAAGCGGGGGTCACCTGTGGTCTCGTGATGCCCCAGGGGCACCTCCAGACCGGCCAGCTTGGCCACCAGAGCGGTTTTCCCCACGCCGCTCTTGCCCGAGACGAAGACCTTGTAACCGGCTACGTCGGCAGCCGCCTGCGGAGCCAGCACGGGCCTCTCGATCAGCCCTGCCGAGGGAGAGAAGACCGACTTACTAGCGGGGCAGGGAGGGGATTCCCTTGCCCAGAATCCCCTCCCAAGCTCCCGCCGGCGTGGGGGGTGGAGGGGAGAGGAAGGGCGACCTCACCGAAGGATCGGCGCTGCGCCCGGCGCAAGAGCGCGCCCGAGTAAGCTCTGCCTTCCTCGGTGCAGTGCCAGTCCGGGTCCACCACGGATCCCGGGCGGACGATCATTCCCCCCCCAGCCCCCGACCCCCGCACCGCGGGGAAAGAAGCAGGCTGGGCAACGCTGCGCCCCGCGGAGGGATCGCCTCCCTCCTCCCACCGCGCATGCCCGAACCGCGTCTTCTCGCTTCTTCCGCCCTCGCTTTGTTTTGGCATGACGTCACACCGGTGGGGCCCCCCCCCCCGGCCGGCCCGGGTCGCCCCCCCCCCCCCCCCCCCCCACATCCAGCGATCGGCTGCTGCCAGGCTGGTGGTGGGGAGGGAGGGGGGCCTGCAGCGCTGCCCCTTGGTTAAGGCCGTCCGTCCCCGCCAGGAGGGCGGAGGGGGCGAGGTTTTCTTTCTGCAAGCCGGATCCCCTGCGCCGGGGCTCCGCCGGTTGCCCCCTACAGAACAGGGGGTCCCCCCAAACTTGGCAACTTTGAAGACTTGTGGACTTCAACTCCCAGAATGCTCCAGCCAGCATAGCTCTTGAGACTTTCAAGAAGAGGATTGGAGTGCCATCTGTCAGAAATGGTGTAAGGTCTCCTGCTTGGGTGGAGGGGGGGCTGGGTTGGTCTAGATGACCTACAAGGTCCCTTCCAACTCTTGATGATCTGTTATCTGCCTCAGGAATCATCCTGGGCATGGGGCAGGGCGGCTGCTGCCAGGCTGGTGGGGGCAAGGGAGGGCTGCAATGCTGCCTCTCCTGAGGCAGATAAACAGATGATCACAGTTGGAAGGGACCTTGTAGGTCATCTAGTCCAACCCCCCCTCCGCCTAAGCAGGAGACCCTACACCATTTCTGACAGGTGGCACTCCAATCTCTTCTTCAAAGTCCCACAACTTCTGATCTATGCTGGCTGGGGCATTCTGGGAGTTGAAGTCCACAAGTCTTAAAAGTTGCCAAGTTTGGAGACCTCTGGGTATAGAAAGAAGGGCGTTGGGTGTGGGGGGGGGTGTCCCGTCCCTGCATATTGGAGGAGGCTAACGGTTGCAAGAACCGGGCATGGCTGGTCTAGGGAAGAGAAGGACCAGGGGAGATATGTGAGCAGGCTTCCAAGATTTGAAGGGAGAGGGAGAGAAAGGAAAGGAAAGGAAAAAGGAAGGACGGAGAGAAAGAAAAAAGAGGGAGAGCAAGAGATAAAGAACAAAAAGGGAGAGAAAGAGGAAGAGAGGAGAGAAAGGAAAAGGAAGGAAGGAGAGAAAGAAAGACGGAGAGAGAGCAAGAGAGAGTGACTGGAGGCTAAAACATACTATGGTTGCAGGAACTGGGCCTGGCTAGTCTAGGGAAGAGAAGGACCAGGGAAGACAGGAGAGCAGCCTTCCAATATTTGAGAGGCTGCCACAGAGGAAGAGGGGGTCCATCAGAATAACTAGACACAAGGACTGTCCCCTATCCCCAAATTCCGATGTGGAAACTTGAGTCCCCCATCACTCTAAGGTGAAAACTGGGTGAAACAGACCTCAAATGAAATGAAAACAGAGGTTTTCCAACTCTATGGGAAATTGCATTAACGATAGTAGCCATTTTGCGTATGGCAGGTGGAGGCAAGAAATTGGAGGCCCCTCACACCCTGGACATAAATTGTTTCAAATCCTACCCTCAAAACGATGCCATAGGGCACTGCACATGAGAACTAGACACAAGAACAGGTTTTTTTTTCTCCCAAACTCCATCACTCTGCTAAACAACTAATTCCCACACTGTCAAACTATTTAGTAAGACTGTAGTACTATTCTTCTCATCCTTCCAAGTACCGATCTCTTCCAACTTATAATTATAACCGTGTTGCTTCTTATCTTTACTATTTATATTGTTTTGTTCCCTAGTATGATTTGATTGCTTATTAGTAACCTATGACTATCACTTGTGTTGTGAATCTTATGATTCTTGATGAATGTATTTTCATGTACACTGAGCTTCTGCACTAAAGACAAATTCCTTGTGTGTCCAATCAGACTTGGCCAATAAAGAATTCTACTCTAGTTTCCAAGGCACCTGAAGGCCAGACAAGGAATCGTGGATGGAAACTGAACGAGAGATTCAACCTGGAAATAAGGAGAAACTTTCTGACAGGGAGAACAATCAACCCATGGAACAGAAGTTGCCTTTGGAAGTTGTGGGAGCGCCATCACTTGAGACTTTCAAGAAGAGACTGGACTGCCATTTGTCAGAAATAGTCTCCTGCTTGGGTGGAGTGGGGTTGGACTAGATGACCTACCAGGTCCCTTCCAACTGTTAATCTGTTAAATCGATGTGTGGTGGTGGGGGAGAGGATAGCAGCCGTCTTAAATCATCCGTTGTGCTTCCATGGTGGCTTGGTGTCTCAAGGACTCACACGGGCGTGGACTGCTCCTGCAGGAGGACCCCAGGAGGAACTGAACACGTGTGTGTCTGTGTGTGTGTGGCATCCTTTACAGATCTACCACTGGCAAGCACTGGGAGATCAGCAGACGGGGATGCAAGCTATGTCCTGCAACCAAAATGATGGGGGGGCAGAGGGGGGGCTCCAGCTTTCAAATGCATCTTTTGTCTCGTTGCGCGACCAGAAACGAGAGCTCGGTGGGCCTAGAAACTGCTTCGGCGGCTTGTGAAAGCCATATGCCGGCTGCAGCCTTGGGGTACAGGATAAGAAGCTCCCCGGGAATCACCTGTGTCCTTTCCCTCCCGTGGGTGTTTTAGCCCTTTCAGTCGGTGCGAGGTGGAAAGGCCCGGAAGGGCAAGGCCAGGTGTGGCGCCTGGGCGGGGCTTTTAAAAGAGTCCTGCCAAGCTGTTCCTAAGAGGGAGGAGGGTTCAAAATATTCCTGCAATCCGGGCAGCCAGCCAGGAAGACTCAAAGTGCAGCTTTCTCTCGGCTGGGAAAAGTCCCACAGCTTCTCCAAGGGAGTGTGGGAAAAGCCACAGGCAGAACTGAGGCAGGACCGGGCCGCAGGGCTACAAGCCTGGCACAGGATTTCCCACCGCGGGCAGCTGCCAGCCAGGAACCCACCACACTCCCCCTGCCCCTTTGCAGAGTTCACTGCCCAAATGCCGCCCACCCTCCCGAGCCGTTAAGAGGGGTTCCCTCCCTCCCCTCGTGTGACCAGAAGCAAAGCCTGCGAAATGGTAAATCTTCAGTCATGCTGCATTGGAGGTGGCTGGCATTACCACGCCTACCCCACCACATGGTGTTCCCCTTGCCTGACCCTTTAAACTGCAGCTGCTGCTGCCCTCCCCGCCTTCTTTTGCAAAGTGGGTCGGGTCAGGTACCCAATAGCAAGTGTGCACAGCTGTTGCCCCCCCAATTTCCTCATTTGGGGCTTTGTCGGACTACCTGGGGTGACCTGAACCTCCCCCCCCCCCCGCCCAATCCCCAAGGCCAAAAGCATTGAGAGTGGGAACTGCCATTCCCTCAGCACTCCTTTACCTGCCCTGCGGAGGAGGGCTCCAGGCCCATGTGTGGGCTCTCCACCCTATAAGGCAAGGGTCTTGGGCCAGTTTGAAGACTTGTGGACTTCAACTCCCAGAATCCCTGAGCTAACATGGACTGGAGGTGGAATTCTGGGAGTTGAAAGTCCACAAGTCTTAAAAGCTGTCAAGTTTGATCTACAATATCTATCTTCTATCTCCATCTCTATCTACCTATCTACCCACCTAGTCTTTCTACCTATCTACACACCTAATCTACCCACCTAATCAATCAATCAATCAATCAATCAATCTACCTACCTACCTCTCTCTCTCTCTCTCTCTCTCTAATCCAAGGGTCTTCAAACTTGGCAAGTTTAAGACTTGTGGGACTTCAACTCCTAGAATTCCCGAGCTAACAAGGACTGAAAGAGGAATTCTGGGAGTTGAAGTCCACAAGTCTTAAAAGCTGTCAAGTTTGAAGACCCCCCTGCTGTAAGGGAAGCCTTGGCTCATAGGCTGCTCTGAGGGAAAAACAGCCCGAGCCCCAAGGAGTGGGAGGGGCCTCCAGGCTCCTGGGGGGCTTCTGCTTCTCCTAGAGGTCCCCTTCAAAACCCCAACTCCCACCCCAAGAAGGCCACAAGGGCAGAGGGTGGCTATCCCTAAACCAGGACTGGGCCTTTGGACTCTTTCTCCAAACCTCCAACGGGCTGTGGGGTGTTGTCCCATGGGTGCCCCGCCTGGGCACTTCCCTTGGCGTTTTGCCCACTGGCATCGGAAATGACGGAGGGCTCAGAGGCCACCCGGCTAGGGCCAGGTCCTGCTGGGCCAGGTGTCCCGAGGGGGATCTTTGAGCCTGGCGCGCTTTCTAACTGCCCTTTCTCTGGCCCTCCTGCCCACACTGGCAATTGGAGGAAAGTCCTGGGTGCCATTTGCTTAGATCTCTTTTATTAGTGGGTGGAATGCCACATTCACAGCCTGCTTGACAGCGTGCCCGGGTGCAGGACTAACTGGTTGAGGGGAGCCTCCGAGCCAAAGGGCAGCCAAAGAGGGAGGAGGCGGCCCAGGCCGCATTATCTCTTTGCCCGCACAAAGTACAAGGCGTTGGTTTTGGGATAGTACTTGACGTTCTGCTTCTTGTCCATCAAGCCGCCGAAGATGATGACTTCCCCCCGCCCCTGGACCACCGTGTGCAGGCTGGTCTCGGGGGGCCCCACCACGGAGCTGCCGTGGAACACCTTCCACTGGACCCACCCGCGCCCTTTGACCTCCTTGATGTCCAGCACGTACATCTGCATGGGCTTGCAGTTCACGCTCTGGTAGAGAGGCTTGCCTACGTTCAGCGACTGAGGCGGATGGTGGCCCAGGCGGCGAGCAATGGGTGGTAAGGCGTGCCCGTCTCCTTGGGCAGAGCCAGATCGAACTGGAGCGGGAACGGCTGCTTCGGCAGGGTTGGCGCTGCTCTGGCCGCCCGGGGACCCCGGCGAGGACACCCTGGGCGGGCTTCTGACCGCCAAAGTGGGCAGGGCCTTGGAGGAGAGCGCTTGGACCACCTCTAGGCTCCGCCGCAGCGCGTTAGGAGAGACCGCTCCCATCAGGGAGCTGGACACATGAGGCGGGGTGTGAAGGCCGTTGGTCTGATCCGGGGGGTTCCTGAGGCCTAGCGTGCCAACCGTCCTGCTGTCTGCAACCTCCAGCTGGCAAACCAGAGAAGGGG